TATCGAGTTTTGCGTTCATTTAAGATTGTAGAATTATCAGGAATAGACCCAAACAGATGTGATTTAGTTGATGATGTCTCCAAGATATCTTAAATCTTAAGTATAGTTCTCAACATCCTAGTGTCGGTTCCATGAAGCTCAAGGGTTTTAGTTAATGCCACTATACATTAAAAGCGCCTCTTCAGTGACACGAAAGAATCTCCGTTTTAGGTTGTTTGGTATTACTGGTATTTTTACTGTAAAAATCTATTTATGTACTTTCATTGTATTTTGACAAAAGTTTTTTTTTTCTTTTTTCTTTTTTTCTTTTTTTGCGGGGGGGTCGCTACTTGCCCTTAGCGGGAAACCTAACTGATACTACCACCCCAGGTCAACCTCAAACATCTTTTTAAAAGATTATAGTGAAGGCCTCGCTTCATTCAGATAATAACCCACCTCTAAAAAGAGAGATTTCTATATTACAGCCATTTTATTCAAGGCTGTCAAGTGTTTACCCATGCGAATTTTCACATTGTTTTCAGTAGAACTTTTCCTCATTGATTTACACCCTCAAACCGATGCCTTTATATCGTGTAAAATATGACCAGCTCGTGACTAAAAAAATCTGTGGACAAAGTAGTTTGTGGGTTCAAAATAGAGTTAGGTTATTGTTAATAAATATGAAAACAAATTCCCCTAACAAAAAAATGCCGCTTACGTTGCTGGAAATGTATTTCTGAAATCCGATATTTTTAATAAGGTCAGACGAAGGTCATGTGTTTCCCTAAAGTAAGTGAAATGAAAAAAAAAACATTGCTGTTTTTAATTGGCCCGTGAATTGACGAATCAGCCAATACGGGAATGTGAGATACCCTGATTAAAACGACGTTCTCCCATACTTAGTAGAAATTTCGACTAGGAGTAACGTGTGTATGCAAATGCTAGGATCAGGAATATTCTCTGACACATCTGACTTTCCATGTCACTGATATGTAGTCAGTTAAATGCGCCTAATCGGGACAATAAAATTAGACAAAACAGGTCACAAGAGTTGCGCTATTTCATATAACAAAACATAACTTGCTCTTGAGAAAATTGTACTTTTCACTTTCAGTGATAGACAGAGAAAGTGTGTCATTGTTGTATTAGAGTATAGGCCTGATATCTAGCGTTGCGACTAACGTGGCGACACAATAGTTGTGGGCGAATACGGTATAAAAACGAAGGTGACAACACTCCAGTTCAAGTTACATACGTAACCACACATGCTGCCATGATTGTCACACAATAAGTAAAAATAAAATAAAATTTTAGTTTTCAGTTTTCATCTTACTCAGCAACATATTTACAATTTTTGTACACTATCTGCTGTAATCTTTCAGCATAATTAATCATTCCACTATTTCTTTAGAAAAGAAAGACAAACAAACTTGGTTTTGGTGTTTTTTGCAAACGTGATATTTTTAAAAGATCACAGTGAAGGCCTCGCTTTATTCAGATAATACCCCACCTCTAACAAAAGAGACATTTCTTCTAATACTTCCGCTTCTAAATTTAAGAGGACAACAACGAAAATCTCATTATAATTAGTCAATACTCTTTTTTTACTGTGTAATACCGTGATATTCCGGCCAATCAATGCTATGGCCTTCTTTAAACTCCAGATCTAAAATCTTCAACGTTCACTAGAGTGTTTAATTTCTTCTTAAAATAAAAAAAAATGAAGAAATAGATCAGGTCATTTCCAAAGTGTAAGCAACACATGTGATTCCATATTTAATTTGATATCAAAACAACAAAGTTAAGGTATTAATCAAATCACATAAACTGAATTAAATTGCCTTGTTATTTCGACTATTAACCTTTACGTGTATTTCAAATAAAGAAAACCTAAACTATTTAATAACATTTACAAAATTTCAATATCAGTGAGTCGAGATCTACCGCACCAAACTTTAATAAACCACATCAAATCGTTGGTATAATCACTTATCTTCTGCTAAAAATCACCGATTATTATTGACTAGTAAGTAGAGCCCGGCATTGCCCGGGGATGTAACAGTAAGAGATAGATCAAGTATCGACCATCATAAAGACTGAAAAATAAAATTGACAAAGATTATTGTTTAAGGTTGACGGACACGCATGTCTTAATTAGATTTCTTTTTTGTTTTTTTGTTGTTTTTTTTACGAATTGGTCAATCCCAAACTCAAACAAAAACATTGTTTTCAATCGTCATGAGTCTATCGATTGAATAGAATTTTATTATAAACAACTGTCTTGTAAATGGAATTTTTAAAGCATTCTGAATGTAAAAATAAAGAAAAATTGTGCAAGACAAAAAGAGACACTACCTACCAAAAAAAGTGAAGTTTTGTTGAAATCGGTTGAAAAATGTAGGAAATCCGATCCCATATATCAATGCAGACACACAAACAACCTGGGTTTTATAATAAGTATAACTCGATATAAGTTGTCCCCCTTTCATTCTCGCGATGACTCTTAATCGTGTTTTCAAATTGATTTCGTGCAAAAACAATTGTATTTTTCTAATTTTTGGCACTGTCAGAACCACCGAAAGGTAATTTTACGTAGTCCTGTGAAGTTTTGTTGAAATCGGTTGAAAAATGTAGGAAATCCGATCCAATATATAAACGTACAGGCACACACACACAATCTGCGTTTTATAATAAGTAAGATATACTGACTCCTCGAAGTCGGGTTCAAATTCCAGTCGAATCCATTACATTCACTTACATGCTTATACCCTTGGGAAAGGTATGAATCCTCTTCTTCCTCAATCTATGAGTAAATAGCAGGACAGACCAGGTTCTATAGCCTTGGAACCTGTCTATCGCAGAATGAAATGGCAGCAAACTTCGGTAAAAATCTGCCTCATCAGTCATGTATCGAAAGAAACATGATCGCCTAAGCGTGTATCACGCATGGCACATAACTGACTGACTGATTTTTACGTTTATTTGCATTATTTGAAAGCCAACCATCATTGCCATTATTATCACCACAATATTTAAGCATGTGTGACCCGAAACGGGGTATGGCAATGAAGCTAACCTAAAGAGAATTTCAAACTTTTCCCTTTATTTAATCAACATTGATGAAGATTGGGCAAGTAAAAATTATTTTTTTTATCTTTTATAATAATAACAATAATAATAACCAAAGAAGCCGTACTCTTAATAAAACAGCTTAATATACCTGAAATGCTACAAAAAAAAGAAAAAAAATCCTAACTCAATAACATCTACACAAACCGAATAAAACAGAAAGAAGAAAAACTTGGTCAAATTGAATAACGAAAACTGGGACGACAAGCCGTTGCATGGCAAATATCTAAAAAGAAAGAAAGAAATATAAGTGCACCAACATAAAACACAGCAGTGTCTTCGGAACACCAAGTTGAAAATTGTGACAGAAGGCCTAATTATTGCATTGCACCAGGATTCTATCATTGTCACATAGTCAATGATGGAACTTACTCGAAATGCAGGACCTGCGGAAAATATGATGAAACTTTCGAAAATATTATCTCAGGATTTCCGGAACTAGAAAAAAAAATGAATATACCCACAGACATAACAAGGTACCGACATATATTCTCTGGAAGATATGCAAGAAGCACAAAATCGAAACCACTGACAGATGTTATGAGCACCAACCAGAGACAGTTACACAAAATAATGATGTAACTATCCTCTGGGACATGCCAATTCAAACTGCCAGGGTAATAAAAGCCAACAAACCAGATATTATCCTAAACGACAAGAAATCCAAGAAGTACCTGCTTATTGACATAACTGCACCATCTGAGAGAAACACGTCCATGAAAATTATCGAGAAATTGTCGGAATGCAAGGACTTGGAGATCTAGGTTGACAGGATGTGGGGAATGAAGACTGAGACCGTGCCAATAGTAATCGGAGCTCCGGGCCTCGTCAGTAAAGGAATGAACAATTTTAATAACAGTGCCACAGGTAACATCAACATAAAAGTTGACAAGACAACCACCCAACTAGGAACATCCTCTATACCAAAAAGGTACCATAGTTTTGACCCAGTTCTACGGGATAAAACGCAGGAAACATAACATACACAAATAATAATAATAATAATAATAATAATAATAATAAGAAGAAGAAGAAAAAGAAAAAAAAGAAGAAGAAAAGAGAAGATGCACATTTCCAAATATGCAAATCTACTAGTATGGAGATTTTATAAATGATGCAGTTGAATGTTCAAGTACAATTGCCAACGGCTGTATTCTGGTATATTTACATGTCTTTTAGTCTAACAACTAGTGAGTCTACTTCCATTTATATCTTAGCCAGCCTATGAAATTTCTAGCTGACCCTAGAACATTATGATAACATATTTAATATATGCATATTTTTCTTCCTCTCTTATCTCGTTTATGCATTGCAATTAATGTAAACTGCATTTTCTGTTTTCCAGTTCGCTCTATATATATAGTACTGATTAAGTTTCGTACCTCTAGTAATATCTGAAAACAAATTATATTTTTTTTTAATCCAAACTTTGAGTTTTATGGAGTTTTACATCTAAATACAGATGTGTTTATCGGGATCAGATTTGATCCTTAAACCATAATCCATTTTCCTTATCTAATGTATTAGCGTAAGTGTTTGAAAAATATTTCTGTTAATAACATTAAAAAGATTTTGGTTTAGACAAAAAATATGACTTTCTTAATTTATAATAATTAAATCCTATATATGTAATTATGTAAAATAATTAATCATCCTGTAATTATCTATCTATCTATCTATCTATCTATCTATCTATATATATATATATATATATATATATATATATATAAATATAAATATATAAGAAAGAAAAGAATAAAAACAAACATGAAAGCAAAAGAAAAAGAAGATAAAAATGAAAAGCTGAAAATGAAAGATAAAAATAAGCGAGAAAAAAAAACATTACCAAAAAGAAAAAAAATGACCAAAAGATAAGTAAACGAAGAAAAAAATTAAAAGCGAAAAAAAGAAATAAAGAAAAGGTAGAATGAAATAAAATAAAGAAGTAGAGAAAAAAAAACGAAAAAAAAAACGAGGAGGCTTAAAATATTATAAGGAAGAAAGAAAGAAAGAAAGAAAGAAAGAAAAAGGCAATACTTAAAAAAAAAGGAAAAAGGAAAAGGAATATCTTAAGAAAATAGGAAATATAAAAAAATAAAGAACTAAATACATAAAGAAATATAACAAAGTGAAGAAATTAATAAATGAAGGCCTAAACGGTGAAAGAAACGAATGATGTCAAGAAATATAAAAAAGAAATTATTGAAGAATGAAGGAAAAAGAAAGAAGGAAAGAGAGAAAAGAAAATACGGAACAATGAAACAACAAATGAATATAAAAAGAAAGATAGGGAAAAAAATTGAAAAAAAACAAAATAAAATTGGTAGTATAAAAAGAAATAAGAAAAAATAAAAGTAAGAAAGAAAAGAAGAAATAAGAAATAAAGAAAAGAGGAAATGAAGAAAAAAATAAAAATAAGCCTAACAAAGAAAGAAAGAAAAAATGCTAAACAATTAAAGAAATAACGAATATAAAAAGAATGATAGGAAGAAAAAGAAAAAAAAAAGAAAAAAAATTAATATTATGCAAAGAGATAAGGAAGAAAATAAAAAATAAAAAAGAAAGAAATATGAAAATAAAGAAAGAAAAAGCAATAAACAATGAAAAAGAAAAGAAAGAAAAAGAAAAGAAAGAAAAAGAAAAGAAAGAAGAAACGAAATAAGGAAAGAAAGAAGAAAATAGAAAAATAAAATAAGATTACGAAAAAAGAAAGAAAGAAAGAAAGAAAGAAAGAAGGATATAGAAAAATGAAATAAGAAATAAGAAAGAAAGAAAGAAAGAAGAAAATAAAAAGAAGGGAAAAAGAGAGTGAGATCAGGAGATCAGACAGGTGCAGTCTCCTCATTCATAGCCTGAAACGCGTGACTGTTCAAAATAATCAATTCATTTGTTTCTCTGGAAAAGACTTAACCATAAATCTCTGTGGTTTATTCATGACGATTCTGATTTCGCCTATAATCCGAGGGGTGGCGACATATTCTCTACCGTGCCTCCCCACGACCCGCTCAAATCAGGTCTTTTGCATGAATCCCTTCTTGTTCGATCCGAAAATTTTTTCATCATACCGCACTTAGCAGAAGACTAACTGGCATTTTCTTGCGTGATTTGTGTGAGATACAATGAAACATGACTGCCATAAAACTAATCACGTGACTCATATATCTAGCCATTTATCTTGTCTCAAACGTAGTTTCGACGCGGTCCGCCAATTCCATTTTCCGCGCTGCTAAACGTTCGGCCATGTATCGATCTCTTGGCCCCTAAAAGATGAGCAAATAGCAAAGCAGAATCTATTGTTTAGCCTCTGCTGGCATCCAATTTAGGAGATAGAGGACACCGATTCCGAACCAGTGAGTTGAGACACTTATAGTAAACCAGCAATGCATTGTGGGACGCAAGGAGCGAGCCATGACACGTACAACACCCAGACCGTCTTCTCTTTCCTGGCATGTATTCAGACAAAGTGACCTTGTCCAGCCTGTGTATCCATGCTGAGAAGAGAGAAACAGTTCGATTGAAGATATGCAGAATTAAACTTCACTGTATTCTAAGTGAAGAGCCAAACATGAACTCTGACAAAGCTGGGGTCATCTTCGGCTATACACATATTATATATACATACATACATACATACATACATATATATATATATATATATATATATATATATATATATATATATATATATATATATATATATGTATATATATATATATATATATATATATATATATATATATATATATATATATATATATATATATATATATATATATATATGTGTATGTGTGTGTGTATGTGCGTGTGCGTGTGTGTATTCTAAGTGAAGAGCAAGACATGAATTATAAAAAGCTGAGGTAATCTTCAACTGCGAGGATAACACAAACATACACACACACACACACACACACATATACATATGTAGGTGTGTATGTGTGAAAAAAGAGAGAGGAATATTTCGGATATAACTAAAATATATATCAGTATAAGTACAATATGAATAAAGAAAAGTAAACTTATTTTGCCCACGAGGTTCGTATTCTGATGGAATTTTTCATTTCACTTCATGTAATAGAATAACTTTTAATTTGAAACATGCATTTATAGAGAAAAGTGAAATTGTCGTTAGTTATATTTGCAAAAAAATTAGTTGAAAAACTAACGATATTTCTTTAGGCTAATTGTGTCAAGGTAAACTATATTGGATGCTAACTGTTGAAATTCAATGCCTAATAAAAGAAAGCGAGTCATCATCTAATGAGAGAATATCTATTGTTATTTTTAATAATTTTCTTTTTTTTTTTTAATCTTTTCTGTCGTTATTGTTGTTATCTAATATTTCCAATTGCTCAGAACGGACGACACATTTAATGTTCCATCAAACATAAAGTAATAAATATTGTGGGTGGAATTTTATTAGGGAAGTTGTCGTTTTTTTCTCATTGTGTAAACATTATTTTCTGTTTGTTATTTTCTGTTTGTTTTTTTCTGATGAAATGTAAAACTCATGCAAAACTTTAACAATGTGATACAAAATTGAAACTTTAGAATTCTTGGTTATAACCTGCTGAAAATAGTGGAACGCTGTCTTCGGCTCTCAAGTGAAAGCTCAAGAAGAACATAACGTCCTTCACTGTAAAATTCCCAAAATAAATCTAAAATGCATCATAAACAGTAGAAGAGATGATACTCTGAGATACAGTTTCTTAAAATTTAACCTTAGTTCAAGATTCGTTATTTGATTTATAATTCAGAGCCGTAAAATACTTAATTACTTCCTGAACACCCTAATTGAAAAGATGGTAAACCAATTCTGAACACAGTTTACTACCACTCAACTATATTTCTATAATGATTTAGTTACTCATAATTATTAGCGATAAAATACGTGATTATTTCTGAATATATATATATATATATATATATATATATATATATATATATATATATATATATATATATATAAAATATAGATAACTAGACTCGTTTCGAAAAACCCTCGAATTTTTTGATTTGCTAATCAAATCAATCTCGAGGAAAAAATTTAAAAAAGAAAGAGCTACAAACATGAACTTCTGCCGACAAAAAAATCGCACAGATGCAGGTCCGAAGCCCAAAGAAAAAACCCCGATACGAGTAACAACTAACTAACAAAAGAGCTCAATACAACCGTAGAGCAGACCTAGATACACCTAGTGAGCCAGACAAACCTACCTAGGTTTCACCTAAACGGATCGTCAGGGAAAGTTTGGCGATCCGTTTAGGTGAAACATAAACAGGTTTGTCTGGCTCACTAGGTGTATCTATATATATATATATATATATATATATATATATATATATATATATATATATATCAACTCTGTGCTGGTGTCTGGTTTTTTTCCTTTCCTAGGAACTGAGCTGCTTGACCCTCATACGTCAAATATGACAGGAGAGTCTACACACACACACACACACACACACATATATATATATATATATATATATATATATATATATATATATATATATATATATATAGGGCGATTGAAAACTGACCCCTTCTTTTATGTATGAGTGTCTAAACAGGACAACATGACTTAACACCCTGTGATTTATTTTTTGGTGTTGGTTAAAAGAGCCATTTGGCTACACCAAACCAAGACTTTGTAAGAACTTGAAGGGCGAATACAAAAAATTATGTGTTCCATACCACAATATTTACTGGTGAAATCAGTTGACGTGAATTTCTGTGCGAATCGAGAAACTGGTAGCGGCATCTGGTTCCCAAATAGAATGTTAAAATCGCTCCTCATGCGAAACGATTTCCTCTCATATTGATTCATTGTTAAAATATAGTTAATAGATAATTTATATGTATTTTAAAATTGGGTGATAATTTTCAATCAGATTGTACACAATATAAACATATATATATAAATATATATATATATATATATATATATATATATATCTTAATATATATATAGTCTTAAGATATGCCTTATTTATGGGATAAAGTTCTCAATATCAGAGATAGAGCGTGTGTAAATATAAGAGTGAACATAGGAGTCAACACTTTGAGGCGACAGGCTGTTTCATGCAAGAAGACGCAATCGTCAGGCGATGAGTACAGTTGGTCTGACAATTGCATCTAGCATGAAACAGACTGTCGCCTCTAAGTGTTGACTTCTATGTTCACTTATATATATATATATATATATATATATATATATATATGTGTGTCTGTGTTTACAAGCTGACTGAAAATTAACGCCCCATTTTATATATTTATGAAATGGTCAAAGTCCGACGATTATTTTAAGACATTTTTTTATAATTATACATTCTTTTTATAGATACAAATATTTAAGTAAATGCTCTGTTTATAATAAACAGTATTAAACAACATTTACTGGCCTGAATGCCCGAGAAATTTTTTATAGAAAATATGCGTCATCCGATCATCCGGCAGGGATCGAACCTGCATCCTATACGGAACCGTCATATAGCCAGGTGTGCTTTTACCGATTGCGCTACAGAGGAGCGTTTCGGTTAAGAAGGTTGATTTTACTGTTTTTAAATACAATTTTCTATGATTTTCTCACGTACATTCACATCTGCTCGTTGCATATCCAAATGTAAAGAAATGACGTCACACATTATGAAATGGACAAAGTTCGACAATTATTTTAAGACATTTTTATGTTTATATATCTATAAAAATGTGTATATATATATATATATATATATATATATATATATATATATATATATATATATATATATATATGTGTGTGTGTGTGTGTGTGTGAAAATATATAGAAAATAGGAAAGAACTCAAAAATTTCGCTTGAAGATTGAACGGAGCTTAGTATTTTAATTCAATTTAATTTAAATAATTGTATTGAAGTTTTTGCCTCTTGTTTTGAAAGGTGAGAACTCTTATGTAGCGTGTTGGAATCATATTTTTAAATAAATAATTATCTATCTATCTATCTATCTATCTATCTATATATATATATATATATATATTCAGGAAAATAGGTTTATCACTTACTGGGTAACGTTTTCTTTCGTAATAATGTATTTTAAGTTGTATCGAACCTCAACATTGAGTTCATGCCAATCTTTTAGGTGAGAATTTTATTTCTGCTGTTTCTGTTGTTGAAAGTACTTAAGTGATTAGATTTTTACGATTTGGTCACTATATAAGATCCTGTAGCGCCAGTCCATAAGACTCGAAGAAGGATGGTTCTTGCTAAAACCTATAGGATTCTTTGTAATATTGTTACTGAAATTCATTGACCCAACTGTGGGAAGAATTCTGATGAGTTACATCTGTATCTTTAAGAAGCAGGGCTGCACCATCATTTTTGTAATATTTTTCGGAGATTTTAAGACAATGGATTTGATAATACGATCAGCTCAAGGTTTGGTTGTATTATAAACGACTACTTTATTGTGGTCAGACTAATAGCTATCGGCTTGGTACTTAGCAAGAGAATTGTGGGCTGCCCTATGAGAGTGCATTTAGGCTGATATATCACGATCTCAGTATCGCTGTCCACGATAATTTTGAACGCTTTCCATTCAGAAAGTGACGGCTTTTTGATTTTTTTCACGCCCAAACAGTAAACGGAAACCACTTTAGAACAACTACACAGCTATCAGAGTAGGTAAACAAGTGTGTTTCAATAATTCAAAATTGAGGATGATTTAACACGGCTTAATAATTAGATTTTGTTTACATTAGCTTAAAGTTGCTGAGGCAATATTGTGCAATAACGGCGAAATCATAATTTTCGTTAGGTGGTCTTAAAATCTGTACCAATATTATATATATATATATATATATATATA